TCCAAACTATATCTTTCAACATGTTATCATGGTATCATAAGTATATATTTCATTCGCAACTTCCCATTAAAAGTTAATATCTATTATTGCTTGCACTATGGAAATAACCCTTTTATGATCATAAAAACAATGGGTGATAGTGTGTATTTCTTGGCACTTTGATTCAAGAATTTTCGTTAACAATGACCAATGGTCAACGACGTCAACGTGACTGGATACGCTAAAACAGTTGAGGTTTTTTTTAAGTTGCATTAAATTCGTAATTATGACTTTAAACTCAGAATTCTGACTTCGAACTCGAAATTTCTTTAAAGATCAGACCTGTTTGGCATCCCATAAAATAAATACGGGAGATTCCCAACCTATCAAGCAACATCCCAGAAGACTACCATGGACCAAACGCGACGAAGCCGTGAAGATCATCGGCCACATGGCTAGAGAAGGAATAATTGAACCATCCAGCAGCCCTTGGACCTCACCTGTGGTACTAGTGAGGAAGAAAGACGGCAGAACGATGTTTTTCGTAGCTCAGGGATGGGCCCGCGGACCTAACGCGGCCCGCCGAAAATTTTTTACCCCGGCCCGCTAACATAATTCATAGTTAATTCAGATTAATTAATTAATAGATTAATAGACACGTGCAGCATTTAGTGGACGCGATTCAAAGCTACCAATACATTTGAAGGTCTCTTTGAAAATGTGCTTCTTGTTGCAGAGATATTGCCAGTTGTGACTGCGAGATAATTCAGTAATTTTCCAGAATGTTCGTCGCAATATATACCGGGTGGAGCAGTCAAACGATACGTTTTTGGGATTAAAACCACACACGGCAACATTGTTTAGCAATATATTTCGACAAATCTTAGGAACGGAAATGAAAATTTGGATATAGCTTAATATGGGGGATTTATTATCCAATTTTGTATGCAAAATCGTGTCTTTTTGGAAGTAGTTTTTTCAAAAATTAATTTTACGAAAGTAATAAGTATTAAGAATTTTAGATAGGACCGAATACCAAAAAGAAATAAATAATTAGCGATTTCTTTAAATATACCCGTTTTGAATTTTTCACTGTGGCCCATATGAAAAATTTTGTTTGGGCACCTTGGAAAAAAGGTTGTCCAAGCCTGCCGTAGATTATAGGCAACTGAACTACTTAACAAAGAAATATAGTTATCTGTTGCCCCGAATAGATGACGCTATATTCACTTACATGGTTTTCCACCCCTTTAGTTTGTGAAAAGTTTATCCGGAATGACGTGTCTTGTGTATTTGGACTATGTAATTGTGATTGGTTGAACGTTCGAAGATCACCTCCAGAATCTCGAAGACGTATGAGGTTGCGCAGTGCCAAACTGCAACTTAGTACAAAGAAGTACATCACCTTTTTCAAAAGGAAGTTAAATACCTTGGTCATCTGGTTTCGGATAATGGAGTGACAGTGGGTCCCGGACAAAATTCGTGCAGTACTAGAATGGCCCCAGCCAAAAGCTAAGCTTTCGTTACTGCTCCAGTGCTCAGCTATCCTAGAAGAGAAGTGGTCAGTGTAGCGAACATTCCAGAAATCTCGATAGCCATCGAGGCGCCGTAAAAGATTGGTCATCGGCGATAAGGAACGAAGGCAGATGTAACGTAATCTTTCCCGGAAATATGACGTGTTTTCTTCTAGAACATTCGAACAGACTCGCGAAGACTCGAGTTTACTATACAGGGTGTTTTTTTGGGAGCTTTAGTTAAACGTTTTTGGGAAAGTAAAATAAGTAGGTTTTAAAAAATTTGTACTGACTGAAGGCCGAATCGATGTAAAATATTTTCAAAATGGCTGCACTATACTGGAAGTAGATAGAAACTTCGCTATTTTAAATGGCAACTCCTATTTTTATTGCATTTTTGGATTCTACATGAAATTTCAGTTGTTTTGATACCCACATATCGATATCTGCCATTTATGGTTTTTAAGTTATTTTGACTTTAAGAAAAAAAATGGCGGATGCAGATGGTACCTTGATAATTGATTACTTGAAAACGGTTGTAGTCATGGCAACCGATTTTTATCAGTTTATAGAGAATAAATAGGGCTTTCGTTTAGTGTACCTACTTAAAAAAAAGTTAAGATGCGTACAACCGCACCTATGGAGATCCAAATTTAAGAAACTTCAAAGACTAAAAACTCAGTTTTTTTTAAGGAATGACCATGTTCTTACTATTGCATGAGATAGAGAATCGAAATTGGCATATTTTGATATTACTAGCTATCTTTAACAGTTTCTGACTTATTCCCATTTCATTGAATTGATACCATTTTTTTTTTCGCATTTAGTTTTTAGTAGTTGGCCATTATTTTATAACAATCGAATCGAAAAATAGGGGTTGACATTTAAAATAACGAAGTTACTAGCTACTTCCGGGATTTCTGGAAGTGCGGCCATTTTGAAAATATTTTACATCGTTTCGATCTTCAGAGTAACTCCTAAGTACAAATTTTTAAAAACCTACCTACCTATTTTACTTTCCCAGAAACGTTTAACTAAAGCTCCCAAAAAACACCCTGTATAAAGCTGCTTTTATATGAACAATAACTTGATCAATTTCTTGTCGGATTAGATTTCATGTCAATTCGGTAGTACCAACAGTGAACCAATATAAATAATAAAAACAAGATGAAAAATGAGGTTATTTCATATTTATAATTATAGCGAATATAGCGATCTTTTTTTTTTATTCCGTAATCTTCTATTCAAGACAGGGAAACATTTTTGACACTTTACTTTTTTTTCTACACAAGTAAAAATGAGAACCTACCCTTAAAATAATAATTAAAGGTTGGTGAAATTGTGCAATGACATTAAAACATCAAAAAATTGATCAAGTAAACAGCAATATAAAGCCAAGTAACTTGCGCAAGAAATTGTTCAATAAATTGACAGATAACTTCATGAAGCTTAAGCAAATCGCATTGCACTTCAGTTCCAACTTCGACGCACTTGTGTTATGTTAGAAAAAGTGATCAAAAGTTGAATAAAAACCCGGCTGAAGTTTATAGTTTTTCTTTTAGCAATGACTTTTGAGACTACTCACCACTATCTTTCGTTTCATGCTTTATATTACTACGACTGTAAATATGCAAAATACTTTCAGCCAAACCTGATGATGGGGACTAGTCCCGAAATCGATTTCTAAAAGAAAAACTATAATAAAAAACTTCAGCCTTCTCTCATATATGAGAGAAGTTTTCACCCCAATTGGTTGTAGGATGAAAACCAGGAGAAGAGATGTATATGTCGTAGTCTTTTAGTGAAATCCGTCATTTCACGAAACGCCTAGTCATTTATATGAAACTGTGGCACAGTGTACTTTCCAGGGCCAAGCAATTGGATTCCGTTCCCATTGGAAATCGATAAATGGTATCCTTATCGATCTAGAAGGGGAAGGGAAATTACCCCACACGTACAAATTTTCAGCGTTTCACTAAATGACTAGGCCTCGGACTAGGCGTTTCGTGAAATGACGGATTTCACTAAAAGACTACGACATATATAATACCTTCAAAATATCCCCCAATTTTGAGAAGGGTCTGGATACGCCACTTACAAATTAATTTAGCGGAAATCGATAAAAATAACGCAAATTTATCAAAGTCGGACGTTTTTGCAATTAACCTTATTTCAAACGTATTTTGTGGGTATAAGCATTGAATTTATAAATTCAATGGTATAAGGATATATTTGAACCAAAGGAAAGGTGGTATATGAATACCTAACAGAAAACGCTACACCAACTTTTATCAAACATCGGGACATACCCTATGCACTTACAGAAAAATCAGAGATCACCAGCACCAATTAAGAATTTTAATGAAATTTTGCAAGAGCAAGACCTACACCAAACCATGACCTACTTTAACGATATCATTAGATATACCCATACATGCAACATGGTAAACGACTGATAAGATGTTTAGAAAGGCCAGGAATGGCTAACAGCAAATAATCTACAACTTAACAAAGATAAATGTGATTTTTTCAAAACAAAAAAAACCATAGCCAACTCGACAGAGAAACGCTCGTAATAATCTTTACAGTGAACAAATTTTATGGGCAATCATTTACACTAATCACGGACAATAAGCCATTAACACGTATTTTTCACTAAGATTCTAAATTATGGACCATACCATCAAGCTGTTCATTGCGTTATGCAACATTCTTACACAATTTTAACCACAATGTTCAACATAGCAAAGCGGAAGACCATCAAAATGTTGATTTTTGTCAAGATCAACACATCGGCCAAAAGTTCCAGGTATAGAAACACTGCTAGATGAAGAACTACTATGCGATCAAATTATAAAGCAAATTATCCACCCATTCAATCACACATATGCCTACCTACGTCAATAGCAACAAAATAAAGAACTTTCTAAAATAAAAAACGACATCATTGAAGGAAATTTCAAAACTACTGAATACAGTGTGCAAAGTGGAATACTATTCAAAGGTAAACGAATGGTAAACCTTCGTCTATAGAAGTACTAAAGGAACTGCATAGTTACAATGAGAAAATGCAAGAAAATACCGCTATTGAAAAAATTGAACAATCAAATCAAGTGAAAGCTGTGCTCTCATAAGAAAGAATCCAGAACATGGGAGGGACCACAAGAAAATTTCGATAGGAACCATATATGGACTATGCAGGGCCTTTCCAGGGTTTCAATTTTTTCGTCGTAGTATCGAAATGGCCCAAAATTAAACTAATAAAACAAAGTCCGTGTCCCTACAAATATTTTGAAATCGATCGTATTTAATTAGTCCTCGTTTTTGCACGTCGATGTTTATTTGGAGCATTTTGGCAAAAACCCCTTTTTATAGCCGACGTCAATAATGCCAAAAAAGAGTTGCCAAACATTTGACATTGGTGCTCATAAAGGTTGTTTTAAATACTCACAATTAATAAAAATACCAATCCAATTAAAATTCGCGCGCATCGGTTTGCATTATTGGGGGTGCGTTTTTGAGAGTGCTGGCGATTTTAGTTTATAAAGTTTATTCAACCTTTCGATTATTATTTTTTTAATCTGAAAAAATAGAATTCGCTCATTTGCGGTATGTTATATTTTCGTTTTTGCATATGCATTGTTCGGATGTGAAGCTACGTTAAGGGTGCAGTGTCATTTTTTTTTTCATCAAAGCGTGACTTTGTTAACGTTATTTATAACATTTAATCAGTACGAGTATAATGTAACTTTATGTTGTTTAAACTTAGTGGATCGTGTGAATTGCTTGATGGCATCACTATAATTATAATGTGATTCCCAATAAACTGATATCGTCGATTAAATGACATGTTTTCTAATCCAGTAGGCAACTATAATCTGGAAGAATGACGTCCATCCTCAAGGTGAGAGGTTGCAATTTTAGACCTGTTTTGCTTTCACTTTTTATGAGGAACATCGCCGTATGTATTTTTTTATTACATAAGGTTCGTTGACTTTTGGCAGAGTTTCAGCTTATTTTCATTTTTGCGCTTCTTATACCTGAAGAGTTAGCAACACGCTCTATAGTCCATCACTACAGAGAATTTCCGATCGATACCTCTATCAGTAAACAGAAGTTCGGACGGACGGACAGTGTGTACCATAGCACATAATTTCAGCATTGGGATCTCCGGAAAGGTGGGAGATACAGGCCCGTATGAATAAAAGTAAGCAAATGCTTATAATTGCAAAATTCAAAGTAAATACTCGTAAGTGCTCCTTCGCACTGGGCGACTTAGCAGCGCTGCTGAGCAGCAGGACAGGACGCAGTGCAGCACTGCTAAACAAATCAGTATGAAGGGACAGTTACGAGTAGTTACTTTGAATTTTGCAAGTATAAGCATTTGCTTATTTTTATTCATACGGGCCATTGTGTGGGTTAAAAGGCCCCTTTTTGTGACTAAAAAAAACATTCTTAAAAATTCACTTACTTTTCTATCCGCAAATATCGTACACCAACCATGCCCTTACTTTTCTGCGTTATGCCGTGTGTTTCCGTTTCCACCATCCAATATATTGCTAAAACTAAAGACTGATGAGGCATTTTTCGACGCTGGGACAACTATGTATTACCAAGCCAAGGTACACTCAAATCGACAAAGAGGCACTGGACATAGTATGGGCAGTACAGAAATTTTTTTTTTATTTATATGCACATTTTGCACTGTACAAAACCACTTGCTTCCCGTGCTCTGCATCAGTCGTATGGCAAGTAATGCTGGCTATCTTACGCATTTCTATTTCTTAATGTTAAGTACCATAAGTTCACTGCTCCTTACCAACGGCCAAGTCGAGAGATATGTTCAAACCGCCAAGAACCCCCTAAAAATAATGGCCAATACAACTGGATCCATACAACATACCTAACCTGAATGAATTTCTTCGTCAATACCGGGACGTCTCCTGGCCATTTCTTTCTGGGACGGTCACTACGAACTCGCCTTAACCTACTCTACAAGAGGCAGAGGATCTGTGAAAAACTGCGAGCAAATGTTCTTTCTTTCCTAGTAGGCCAGTACCTAGAATAAAACCATCAAATTAGACGAATCGGATTTAAACCGTACAAAAGATTTTTTGTTTTAATGGCCGCATTTGTTGCTCAATATAACTATCCGACGTTTTCCCCCTCGGCGGAGTTGTGATTAAGTGGGGGGTAAACATGTACCTACAAAAAGGGTATTTTTGCGGTTTTACGGTTATATCTTGTTAAAGACCCGCAATATCGGAAACGTGCCCCTATTAAAAGTTTTAAGGTATCGTTGAATAAGACCAGACTCGGCATATTATTTCGACCACCCTTTCCCATTAGTGCTCATCGAAGTTGAACAAATTTTACATATCCATGAAAAACTAGCTTCGGTCTTTTTCCTCGTTTCCGTGGGAATTTCGGAAAGAATTTTCGGAGTATACCTTAAAACCTTCAAAGAAATCCACGTTGTATATGTCAAACCTTAAATGCCATTTTTCCCCTTCCCGTAGGAACTCCCCTACAAATTCAGAAGATTATTGAGTCTTTTCCCTGTTACTAATTTTGTTATGTATCAGCATAGAAGTCATCAGACATTTCTCTAGCAACTGCCATAGGGCCTTTGAAGTTGGCAATTCTTCAATGATCGCCCTAGTTAATAAAACCCTTGACAAAGTGAAGGTTGTCCGCAAATTTGATATTTTTTAAATGCAACACCTTGTATTGTATGTTAACGTCAATTTTGTTGCATCATCCTATATTTATTTACCATTTTTCAAAATTTTGAAATGACGTGTTCCGTCAGCCATTTTTGTCGATTGGCAGCGACTGCTTTAGTTACAATGGAGACAATTAACAAAACAAAATCTCCATGAATCCATGGCCGACTATTTAAAGAAGTAAAAAAGGTTTTTATTGTTTATTGTTTCATCGCTAAAATTAAAAAAATAGGTTGTGATAAATCAATGTAATCAGGAAAAGGAATGATAAGAAATTGACGTTAAGATATACAAAGTGTTGCATTTACTAAATACCAAGTTTGGGTCAAACCTCGGAAACTTTTCGTTTTCACCCTTCTCAATCAAAAGTTATAGACTAGAAACAAATTTAAAAAGAAAATTCAAAGGGCTGTAATTTTTGAACCAGTAGCCCAATCTTGGAACTGTTTCAAATTATGGATTCTACAGGCCACATTCTATAAGAAAATTTTTTTCCGGGTCGATCTGAGACAATTTTTTCTTCGGGCCTCAAAAAAAGGCAGTGTACAACCTTCCTTTTTTACCAAAAATCGACTGCACCAAAATTTCTCGGGAAAACACTTTTTCTTATTAATTTTGGTGCGTAGAATCCAAAACAATTCGTACTTTTTCGATCAGACTTCTCAATCAAAAGTTATAGACTAGAAACCAATTTCGAAAGAAAATTCAAAGGGCTGTAACTTTTGAACTAGTAGCCCAATCTTGGAACTGTTTGAAATTATGGATTCTACAGGCCACATTCTATAAGAAAATTTTTTTCCGGGTCGATCTGAGACAATTTTTTTTTCGGGGCTCAAAAAAAGGCAGTGTATAACCTTCCTTTTTTACCAAAAATCGACTGCACCAAAATTTCTCGGGAAAACACTTTTTCTTATTAATTTTGGTGCGTAGAATCCAAAACAATTCGTACTTTTTCGATCAGACTTCTCAATCAAAAGTTATAGACTTGAAATCAATTTCGAAAGAAAATTCAAAGGGCTGTAACTTTTGAACTAGTAGCCCAATCTTGGAACTGTTTGAAATTATGGATTCTACAGACCACATTCTATAAGAACATTTTTTTCCGGGTCGATCTGAGACGCAGCTAGATTGGTTCTGTTTGTGGTATTATACGTTTCACAAAACCCCAAGTCTATCTTTAAAAACAGCTGAGATACACTGCAGTCTCAACCAAAATAGGACACACGGTACAATTAAATTTTATAATTTACAAAAATCGTGATGGGCCGCAGGCAAGGCCGCAGGTTTCAGAACGGGGAGCCACGAGTTTGACATTCCTGATCTAAAGTATCTCCCATGTCATAGTCACTACCATTAACCCGGTAAAGTTGACCTCAGGAGTAGTGTGTCTTTTGCTTCGGCGGCGGCGCTCAGGCGACGACTCCTGTTCTGATATACAATGCGATCAAAATTGAGTTGCTGTCGAGTCAGCTTTGGAATTTTTGTTTACATGGGAAATCGTACTTAATTTGAACTTACAAATGCGTCTCGATAGCAACTCATTTTTGATCACCTGTTAGTAGGAAACAGGGAAAGATTCATGGAATTGAAACTACTCAATCAATCTTCTGAAGGTCTGCAAAACTGACACTACTAGGGGTAGAAAGCTGAAATGTGGCATGTAAGTTCCATGGAAATTTTAGGGGAGCACTAAAAAAGGATTTCCGAAAATTCCTACGTCGCAAGTGAGTTTGGGTCCAAATAAGTTGGATTTGGTCTCATTCAATGCAGAATTTAATGCACTAACACTTTTAATAGGGCTATGTTTTCGATATTGTGAGTCTGTTACAAGATATAACCGTAAAATCACAAAAATACCCGGGAGAGACTTTTGGTAGGATTTAAATCTGATTTGGATTTCAATCCTACACTGGGCTATAAGGGAATGGGTAGGTATTTTAATTCTGTATTATTTACATATCAAGTAGTCAAGTACCTTAAAATAACTTACTTGATATCTAGTCGAGTAGTGGGTACCTACCTACGTGTGGGAGATCAAGTGAAGTGTTTAGTTTTTGAAATACTTGACTTGTACTATCAAAAATCATCTTGACGAATCACCAGTCCGTTGATAAGGAACGTATTTCGGGCTCGAGAAGTTTTATCGATTCCAGTTTGCTATTGACCTTTATTTTGACTCAAATTAGTATTAGTCCTCAGTAAACGATTTCTTAGCAACTACTAGCTAGCATTACAATTTAGTTTAATTTAAAAAAATTTCGCGGCGTTGCGCTCTGCTGTAGGGTAATCTACCCAATTATTTCGAGAGCACACATTTTTTGAGAAAAAAAAAAACAAACCAGCGTGGAAATTTTGTTAAATAAGAAAAAGCGGTTAATGAACAAATGAAGTTTTTCCTTGTAAGTAGAACATATACAGTGATATTTATTAAGAAATAGACATAGGAATTTACATGTACTATTTCCTCCTATTTCTACTTTTAAATGACAAAAGCTCTTCTGAAGTGCGCCTAATTTTATGCAACCAAAATAACTTCTTAAAACAAATAAGGGCCTAGTGTTAATTGGCATAGTGCCGGTAACAGTTTAAGGACCGCAAGAGATTTTGTGAAGCCAGAGCAATTATTGAAATTAATTAATATATGACTGCCAGATCTTTATTTTTTTTAAGAAGTTATTTTGGTTGCATAAAATTAGGCGCCCTTTAGAAGGATTTTGTCTTTTAAAAGTAGACATAGGGAAAAACAATACACGTAAATCCCTGTGTCTACAATAAATATCACTGTAGAAATTGGTTTTTTTTAATTATTAAAACAGAAAGAAGTTCTTTCTTGTGTCTAAATTTCTTCTGTAAAAAGTATAAACATTTTCACACTCACTGAATGCCATTTGGTGCTTCCAATAGTCAGACCACACCTCCAGTGGTAAACAATTAGGTTTAAACACACATAATTCTAAATTTAATAATCAGCTTCAGTATCAGACTTTGTTTTAATACCGAAGAGCCCAAATTATAATTTATCTTCTGATGTGTCAATATTAGGAAATGTATAGGATATCGAAAATTAATAAGGATTTTTCTTGTTTCAGGATAGCCTGCAGTCTCCGTGGTTTGACCGTCCCACGTATGGCACTACATCCTCAAAGCATTAAAAATCGGCGTCCGCCGATGATCAGCCGCATGATATCACTGATAACTCTAATACGTCTTGCGTTTTTGCGCAGACAGTTTCGTAGGGATCTCCTAGAATGGCCAAATACACCATGGACTCTATATCTCAACTTTCGGCTTCCGACATTAATCGAGTGAATAATAATAATAATAAGCAAATGAATAAAAGTGCTTGTAGTGAAAATGTATTTGGTAATTCTAGTGTAAATAATACAACAGAAGCCTTCCATGAGTCCAGCACGTGCGCTAATTCTAAATTATCTAGTAGAAGCTTTAAATGTAGCAATAACGATCTTGAAAGTAACGTACCTAGTATTAAATCTAACGGCAGTCTTTACACGAGCAACATACTAAGTAGCTCGGCGGAAATGGCACCTCTCCTACAAACTGGCAAACAGTCGAAGGAGAATCGCGCCGCTTTGAAACTGCAGTTAAACGAAAACTCGGTCAGTAGCAAGCCGAAGCTGGTAATTAAAACGATTCACGAGAATCCCATTCATCGTGCACGGGAGAGCCCGCAAAGGAAAGCGGCGGACGAAGAAGATCGGCCAGTTCTTCACGTGCAGTTCGACAGCGAAGAGCGAGAGGCGGATAGTAGCCTGCCGGCCAAGGAACCATGCCTTACACCCACCGCTAGCGTATCCTCTAGTTCGAGCTCTAGTTCCAGTAGCGAATCCATAGAATTATCAGAAGCCCGACCGCCAGATGGAGGTTGGGGCTGGGTGATAGTCGCAGTTTCTTTTATAGTCAACGTGATTGCCGATGGGATCACTTTTAGTTTCGGTGTCATATTCCCTGAGTTTCTGAATTATTTTGGGGAAGATCGTAGCAAAACTGCTTGGATTGGGAGCTTATTCATGGCAATGCCGTTATTGTCTGGTCCGATTGCCAGTTTCCTGACGGACAGATACGGATGTAGATCGGTCACGATTGTCGGTTCTCTACTGGCATCCTCCGGGTTTGTCTTAAGCTCGTTCGCGAACAGCACCGAAGTTCTGTATCTAACTTTCGGAGTGCTGGCCGGTTGCGGATTGAGTTTGTGTTACGTGGCTTCCGTCGTGATTGTCGCCTATTACTTCGACAAGAAGAGATCGTTTGCGACTGGGCTTGCCGTTTGCGGAAGCGGAATCGGGACTTTTATCTTCGCGCCTTTGATTCAAGGGTTGCTGAAGGAGTACGGATGGCGAGGTACAACTTTAATTTTAGCCGGAATATTTTTAAACTTGGCTGTGTGCGGAGCATTAATGCGAGACTTGCCTTGGACTTCCTACAAAAACAAATCCGCCGCGCGCGAACGGAAACGGAAGCGTAGCATACGAAGGAAAAGAAACGACTCATCGGCGGATACGTTTTCAGTGAGCAACAGCACTAACACTGCCAGCGCTTTACAGCCGATAGTTGAAAGTAACGAAAACGGTGAAACTGACGAAGACAAACAGACTGAACAAGATCGAATGTCCAGCTCATTGGTGAACTTGCCCACTTTCGTACGCAATGGAGAAAAAGTGCCAATAGAAGTTTTAGAGTTACTGTCGACCCACAAAAATGTTTACAACGTTCTTCTACAAAATTACCCGAGCCTTCTAGCTCCATCGAGGAGTTTTAGTGATTCCGGTAGGTTACACAAAGCTCACTTGGCTGTTAAAACACCTCTACCACCTTCGCCTCTTACCGATAAAGTTCCTCCAGTGCCTTCAATATCACCGACAACAACCGACGGTGCTTACCTATGGTGGTTGAAGAGGAACGAAATAACACCACCTAGATTACCTCCGCAAAAAAGACTGCCCACTGCCTATTTAAAAGATTTGCGAGTGCACAGATTGTCACTGACCTACCGAGGGGCGATGCTCAACATAAACAGGTACCGCTTGAGGGCCTCCTCCTGTCCGGACATTTACCGAAATTCGATGACGACGATCGCCAAGGAGAAAATGCAGTGGTACGCGGGACTGTGGGATCTTTGGGATCTGGTGGTCGACATAATCGATTTCTCCCATTTCGCCAACGCAAAATATTTACTGTTCGCAATTTCGAATTTCCTTTTGTACACGTGGTACGACGTCGAATACATGTACTTAAACGATCACGCGCTGGGCTTGAAGATCTCGGAGGAGGACGCTTCGATGCTCATTTCGGTTATAGGCATCGTTAATATGTTTGGAGAGGTAATCGGTGGATATTACACGACTATATGACTAACCATTTTGGTTTCAGATTATCCTAGGATGGGCCGGAGATCGTCCTTGGATTAATCCTAGCGTAGTTTACGCGATTTGCATGTGCTTGTGCGGTGCGGTTATTGCGCTTGTGCCGCTATTGGATAGCTATTTGTCGCTATGTTTGGTCGCCGGAGGATTTGGATTTTTTATTGCAGCCAATTATTCATTGACTTGTATTATATTAGTCGAGCTGATAACGTTGGAACGATTTACAAATGCCTATGGACTTTTATTACTTGTACAAGGTGTTGCTAATCTGATAGGACCACCAATTGCAGGTATGCGATCTAAGTATTTTCATTACGTAGTTAGGCAACTTCAAAATATAAAAAAAGTGGTAATTCGTGGTAAGCAGAAAGATTTCTTCAGACAACAGACGTCACTCAGAATTTAACAAAATTCTAAGCCTTGTATCCCCCACATACTTTTAATTTAAATTGGATCTACATTTGGATTATTGTGAAATAGTTTTCTTGAATTTATAACTGATTGCTCTAGCAATAATTTTTTTCAAATCATATTCAAAATTCTAGCAATCAGTGGTCGAGTCAAATTTTTGCTTTTGGTTAGTGAACGTGAATTGAATTATTGATTGGTATTAATTCCAGTTTAATATCCGATTGCCGAGTATCTGACGATTGTTTTCGCAATATTTTATGTGCCGCGCTATTCACTACCACTCTTATATTTGTTTGTTTGTGTTGTTATCTGATTATTCTCGCACCCAGGCGGCAGATACCGGGCACAGAACACCTACAATAGTATGGTTTAATATGCAAAACATACTATTGTAGACCAGCATCAGGTGTTCTGTAACCGGCATTCTCTCTTGGCGAGCAAAACTAGTAAAATTAAAGTCATGATTTGTAGAGAAACACATAATGACGCTTAAAGAGTGCTTCCAGTAGGTAGTATATTATACAGGGTGGTGACTTGCGTCGCATCATAGGGATTTCAATGTAAAATTCATAATATGCCATTATTGGCTCCCCAAATTATTTTAGAGCAAAAATGTATTAAGGTTTTTTATAGACAAAAATTTTTTACGTCAATCAACCGCGTTAGTTTCCAATTTTTTACATAATGAAGACAGAAAATTGTAAAAATAAAACCTGCATCTTTTTCAATAATCTGTGATGCCATGGAATTTTATAATACAAAAACTACAATATCCGTCATGCCATGGAATGTCTGCTATAAAACAAATCAAATTCTATCAAAAAGTATTATATTTAGAACAGCGAATTCAACATAAAGAAAGACCAAATTACTAAAAACGGTTTGCTAATACAACAATTGACAGTAAATGTTCGAATAACTCACCATTAACTGCAAGACAGTAACCAAGTTGATAATAAAATCCAGCTGCTAATTGACAACTTGACATCTTTTTGTTTTAGAAAATTCCATGGCATCGCAGATTATTCAAAAAGATGCGGGTTTTATTTTCTCAATTTTCCGTCTTTACTATGTAAAAAATTGAAAACTAATACGGTTTATTGAATGCATTGCATGTTATGAATTTTACATTGAAATCCCTATGATGCGTGACGCATGTCACCACCCTGTATAATGCAGTACTGGTTCCGTATACGACTAAACATTAAGGAATCAGTATTGGACTGTAGACATATGCACAGAATACGGCCTTCTCAGAATAGAAACAGCAATGTTACAAATTTGTATGGTATTTTGGCGGACCCTGGTGGGTGTACTGTGAACTAAAGCATCAAAATCAGAGTAGCGCCATCTGGTGACCGGCTTCTAAATCCATGAAGTAATTTCCCTAATTCGATCTAAATCACAAATATAGATAAAGAATACACAGTTGTTAAATTGCAAGTGTATTTAGATACAATCACATTACATTATTTAACACAGACATCTTAAATTACATGTTTACAAATTACATATAAAACTCAGAAGTAAGTGCAACTTACGCTTTGTAAGTTAACACTTTGCAAAAAGATCCTTACGTAACGAGTTGTCCTACGAAATATTTGGTTTTAATTGCTGTTTGGACTACATATTTTTGTTAAAAAATATCTTTAGAACTAAATTTTTTGTTCCAAGAGGTGATAAAACGGTTTCAGCAAATTGTCACACAAGTTTTTGACAACAAATGTTAACTTGATCCTGGTGCTTACTGGTTACTTGAGAAGCGAGGGTGGAAGTTGTTGAATTATCTAAAACGAATTACAATATAAGTATCTACCTACATCTATATAAACATAAAACTCAAGTCTACACCCTTTTGCGGCTATAGGTACAGTTGGTAATAATTCTGCCTCAATTTGTACCTGTTACTTACCTTGCATAAATAGAAAAGAAATAACAGCACATTTTAACCCTCTTCGCGTTTCAAGCACAAAACAATCTGTTTCAAAATGTGGGAAACGATGCCTTTTTGATATTTTATTGTTACAATCCGCCACACAACACTTTTTACGGTCACATAACTTGTTCATATTTTTAAATCTTTCAAAAGTCAAAATTGACATGTGTAAAACCTGTGTACGTATAAAATCGACGGTAAAAATATTTCCTGTAACGAGCAAAATTACAGGTTTTGCAAAAAAATATTTGAGTCTGCGATAAATAGTTCTCCGTACAACCACGGGAAACGCTGTAATCAGTGACAATTTAGCGCCATTTATGTTTCTGTTCTGTGAAGGTCTTATTCTGTGGACATATGTTTAAAATGGCAAAATGTCAATTTTCAGAAATTCGAACCCTTATAAAACGGGTTCCCACTTATCCCTCGAAGTGCAGGTAACCCTCCAGAATTTGTTTGTTAGAATCTGAGGCAAAATTTGGTGCTTGTATCCGTCTGATAAATATCTTTTCACAGCCTCATTATACAGGGGATATTGATGTCTAACGTATAAATAGGCAAGCAAGAGTAACATTACTTACTTCCCAGGTACTTGCAAAACAAAGGCCATAACCTTATGGATATGCCTGTACTGTAGCGTGTAGCTATACCAAATACCACTAGTCACTAGATGGGATAGCGACCCACTACATAAATAGGTGCCATTATTGCCCATAGTATCTAAGTGGTACTAAACCAATATGTAATACAATATTCCAAAAATGCCGCTAGCGAGTACATGGGATTCTATTACTTGCGATTTGTCCGTCCTAAACTTCTGCAGTTTGAAACTATTTTTAGCGGAATTCTTCTTGATCTTGAGTTGAGTTGAAAGTGTACTGGACGCTTTAAAATATTTCTGCCTAAATAGGGGACCTCTTTTTCATTCCCTGATTTTTTTTTCCAAATAAAAAAGTAACTAATCGCGAAAAGGAGTCGCGCGGGAAAGTTATATAGTTTGTACAAACCAATTCATTTCAATGAGACCTTTCATTAGAATACCATGAGCGGTAGAATGTGTGTTACCCCCTCCCTCCCCCTCTCATTTTGTAAGTTTTACTTGGCCCCACTAAAGGCATTACGGATGCAAAATCTGTGATCAACTGGTTGTCGCATGTCTTACTTTTAAAACAGCTTCTCAGGAAATAATTCATGGGGAGGCCCCCCCCCCCTTAAGACACCGAGAAATTTTGGTGCAGTCGATTTTTGGTAAAAAAAAAGGAAGGTTATACCACTGCCTTTTTTTGAGCCCTGAAAAAAAAATTGTCTCAGATCGACCCGGAAAAAAATTTTTCTTATAGAATGTGGCCTGTAGAATTCATAATTTCAAACAGTTCCTCTCATTTTGTAAGTTTTACTTGGCCCCACTAAAGGCATTACGGATGCAAAATCTGTGATCAACTGGTTGTCGCATGTCTTACTTTTAAAACAGCTTCTCAGGAAATAATTCATGGGGAGGCCCCCCCCCCCTTAAGACACCGAGAAATTTTGGTGCAGTCGATTTTTGGTAAAAAAAAAGGAAGGTTATACCACTGCCTTTTTTTGAGCCCTGAAAAAAAAATTGTCTCAGATCGACCCGGAAAAAAATTTTTCTTATAGAATGTGGCCTGTAGAATTCATAATTTCAAACAGTTCCAAGATTGGGCTACTAGTTCAAAAGTTACAGCCCTTTGAATTTTTTTTCGAAATTGGTTTCTAGTCTATAACTTTTGATTGAGAAGTCTGATCGAAAAAGTACGAATTGTTTTGGATTCTACGCACCAAATTAATAAGAAAAAGTGTTTTCCCGAGAAATTTTGGTGCAGTCGATTTTTGGTAAAAAAGGAAGGTTATACACTGCCTTTTTTTGAGCCACGAAAAAAAAATTGTCTCAGATCGACCCGGAAAAAAATTTTCTTATAGAATGTGGCCTGTAGAATCCATAATTTCAAACAGTTCCAAGATTGGGCTACTAGTTCAAAAGTTACAGCCCTTTGAATTTTCTTTGGAAATTGGTTTCTAGTCCATAACTTTTGATTGAGAAGTCTGATCGAAAAAGTACGACTTGTTTTGGATTCTACGCACCAAAATTAATAAGAAAAAGTGTTTTCCCGAGAAATTTTGGTGCATTCGATTTTTGGTAAAAAAAGGAAGGTTATACACTGCCTTTTTTTGAGCCCCGAAAAAAAAATTGTCTCAGATTACGGTACTGGCTAACAAACTTTGGACGGTAACAGTGCTGGTATCAGAAAATTGAATGCATTTATTTAGTAGGTACTAAATAGTACTGCTGTTCGTTTATGTCTTGGTCACCATGTACCTACTGGCTCTAATGGCGCGATTATGTATACAGTGATATTCATGTAGAAGTAGACATAGGGATTTCCTATGTCTACTTTTATATGATAAAGTCTGAAAAACGCCTAATTTTATGCAACCAAAATATCTTCTTGAAGATCTGGTTGTCTTATTAATTATTAATTTGAATATTGTTGCTTAGCCTCACAGAAAATAAATCTATTAAGCTCCTTTAACTGTTATCGGCACTATACCAATTGGAAATATCAACTTTTTCTTTAGTTGAATCACATCGCACACGAACCGAAATTAGAATAGGGAAGTCAAAGCGATAATATTGGAATTAATTAATATGACAGGCAAATCCTCATTTGTTGTAGGTAGTTACTTTGGTTGCATAAAATTAGGCGTCTTTCAGGAGACTTCATCATATAACAGGTAGACATAGGAAATCCCTATG